GCTTTACGTCGTTTTGCAAACATGCTCCAAAAAGCCTCAACAAATATCTCACGCGTCACATTTCTGTCTCAGGTTTTCCCATTTCCTTTTATACTGGGACAAAGGTCCATTGAGTGTCGCAATCAGCCTTTCCATTTGTCTGCCATTTTCAGGCAAAGAGAGAAACTGATTTAGATGTAAGCCAAACCTCCTCTAATAATGTTTTTGGCACACAGCCACATGATTCATCAGTTGATACTTTGCTGTCTCCAGCATCACCGTTAAGTTGTTGAATTCAGTTATGCCCTTGATAATATCATTTCTAATAAACGCGTTTTTATTTCTTACCAAAATCGTTGAACTATCGGGAAGTGCCAAAAGTCTATGCTAAATGGGCCCCCTAACATTACTGTAATTCACCCAATCACTGCTTCCTACAATTATCTTGTGACACAGAAGCCTGTGTTTGATACATGAGTTTCTTGTTATCATCTTATGATGTAGCACCCTGTATGATGAACTTAAAGGGAGTGTGTCTAACGTTTTTGGTTTTCCTCAATAGGCGGCTGAGGAGAGTTTGGCAATTGTCTGTTTAATTTTGGCTGCTAAATGCACATTTGGGTCTTGAAACCGTTTTGGTTTGTTTATTTTTATCAATCCCCATCGATGGCTGTGTATGAAGGAAAGCAATCATACAATATAAATCAATTAGCGGGCACGAAAGGACGAATGCGCTGGCTTATATGTGCCGAGTAACTGCGCGCTAGAGAGATGACCATTATTTTGGTTGCTAAGCAACGTAGAATACTCACATTCCCCAAGAGTCCGGTGCAGCCGATTGATGCAACACTATACTTATTTCTCATTTCAGTATATAGTAGGCCAGCTTGAATTGGTGCGCATTATCCGACCCGCCTTCCCTTACGTTTAGACCCGTACACTCGCAGCCCTCAGCAGAATATAAAAAATCATCGCATTATGGCCGCCGCCATCGCCACGCTCGCAAGCTGCTGTCAGCGCTGACTAGCGGCATCCTCGAAAGGCCATTCGCTAGAGCTAACGATACCTTCTCAATGATATCGATGTGTTTAGTACTGAATACTGCTTGGAGCCAACCCGATGACGTCGTTCTTCCATACAAACCGAAGACAATTTAGCGGCCGTAGCAATATCTCGTCAGTGGAGGCGGATTTGTAGACAAAAATGGCACAAAATTTGTAAATCAAAAATCCCCACCATCCTACGTGCACGGTCAAAAATCCTAACTTGATTAGACACACTCCCATTAATGAAGCTTCAAACAGATTCTGGTAAGCATCAAATAACACCAAATTACAAAGCACCAGCAAATAACATCACCATGTCATTCTCTCCACTTGTTTTCCCCATTTATGTCCATGCCCCTAAATTTGTAATTTGCAAGCATGATTATACATATTTTGCCCCATTTGAAGCGTGACAAAAAATTTCATGCCACGTAAAAATCTACAATTGGGCTGTTCAGTGCTGCGACAACAAGTGTATATATGTTGGTTTTGATATGTTTTTTATAACGGTTACTTTTCCGTACAGTGTCAAATACCTCTTCTCCCAAGTTTTGTTGACGAGCCGCATTTCACCAATCTTCGTACCAAGATGGTTAGAGCATACAATCTCATCGTTGCTTTAGAAAACCATCCTTAGCACCTTCATTCTTTCCACCCACTGCATTTTCAAATCACGGCATTTAGACCCCCTTCCTTTGCGTTATTTCCTACCCACATTGCTTGTATTCTATTGGTGTTCATATTCTATTCTATTCTATTCTATTGTATTCATATTTGTTGCCAGTTGCGATAATTTGGTGCAAACTCTAAGGTCGTCAAAAAGAGTCGTACAACTGTTCACTGAGGCGTCCAGAATGCAAAGTGTATCATCGCAGTGGCCCGATAACTTGCACTCAAACTCTCTATTCTTACTCCTCTTATCTATATCATTAGGATTGCTCTGAATAAGCGACGCTAAGCATACCATCACCAGCAAAAATGAATAACAACTCATTCACCTTGCTTGCACGGCCTTGACAGACGAATGGGCCGTGTAAGATGACCGTCGTGCAAAATGTTTGCTACCGAGCTCTCGTGCAGTATGCTAAACTAGTCGATGACTTCTGGTGAAAAAGTGGCTCGTAATGGCCTTGACCAGCCTCTAACTAACGGAGTTGAACGCCTCCTCAATGTGCGGCCTCACAAACAATGCATTCTTTCCAATTCTGCTTAAGGTATTGAACTAAATGTGACATAGATCTAGTATTTTTTCCGATCGATCTGCCCTCAATGTAACCCGGTGTAACATGTCTTAATCAGCTTAGAAACTACTTGCTTTAATCTGTTGGCCCCGTTGGCGTATCATTAATTGCATTCTGGTCATAATCAAGGACCAAATGCCAATCCCCATCCAGCGTAACTGGAATGTTATTTTCCATCGGGTCCAAAAATTATTCACTAGGCTGGAAAAACTCCGTAACATCCAGATTCGGTGCATGTATACTGAAGACGATCATTTCCAAAGCCTGATTAATTCTTGAGCATGCGATAATGTAATTTCCTCCCCTGTTGTTGCAATTTAGCAACCCCTGCAATCATTGGGTTGCTAAATTAACCATCTAGCTTAGCTGTAAGAATTGGTGCTCCTCTAGCATTGTTCGTGAGCGGTGCCAGTCTCTGTTCTTTCAATACAGTGTAGGCACGACCACGCGCATCCGCCCAGGGCTCCCGCAGCGGGCCTCGCAAATGGCGCCGGCGGTGCGTGGCGGCGTCCAGCAGCACCTAGCACCGCACGCGCGCGGCGGCAGAAGCGCAGGCTGCCGCACGCCGACCATGCGTTATGCCCCGCAGTCCCAGGCACAGCGCAGACACCCTACGACACGCCGACTCTTGTTGCGGTCGGCGGGCGGCGGCCGTGGCGCCTCGCCGGCGGGGGGGGGGGGGGCGCAGGTAAGAGGGGCCACCCGCCCGCCCCCATTCATCATCAGCCTCAGATCAACAACCATCGTAAATAGTGGGGCAAACCCGTCGAAATCCTCATACCATAACGCAAAGCATGAAATACACCGGCTCTTGTCGCAACCACTGGATTGACAATCTAATGATCTAATGCATCTTAAGGCAAAGCACATCGTTGCCACTGACCTGCAAAAAAAAATACAACTACAAAAACAATATTCACCCATCTGCGAATTGTTTGACCAACTTCCCACCTCACCCATCTTCCTTCCAGATAACCATCTAGTTTCAACGTGGGTTTGACTGGGCTGCGCCGTGCAGTACGCAAGGAGACACGCCTGTTTAGCACCGTGATGATGCAGCTCTGTGTAGCCACGCAGCTTACGCGGATTATCCCCTTGTTGGGCCGCGTCGTGAGCCGTTGGACAGAGGCACACCATGCCGTCGAGGATCTAGGACATACAGAGCCTCCGGCGACTGCGTAGGGCCTCTGGACAGCGCGATGAGCCTCAAAATATCCCCAAGCACCACTCCCTTATTATGCCAACTGTCAAACTGAGGTTTATTCAGAAAGTAGCACACCGTCCAGCCTGACACTTGTTCTGCAACACATGCAAAGGACTCGTTACCTGGCAACCAACCATACTCAGCGTGCAGCCCTGGGAGCCAGCATAGGAGCATACAACATGAAGCAACGAGAGCGTCTACGACTGCATGCAGCAAGCAACCACCATGCAAGCCAGTGTAGCAAGAGACACCAAAAGCACATGCACAATCACCAGGGCATGCACATGCAACATGTCACATTATTCAGGGAAGAATGACCTCTGTCTGTGCATGAGCTTCTCACTTTGGCTTGCGACGTTTCTTGGTTGTCTGGAAGTCTAAAGACGTCCAATTTTGTTATTTTGTGTCGGGAAACTGCGTCCGTTCAGCAGGCTATGAGTCTCTTCGGAGCCTGTGACCCCTCGGGGCAGAACGGGAGGGGCATGGCCCGTGTCCCCTGGATCCACCACCGGCCCGAACAGCTCAACAGGTGGGCCCCCGACAACAGCGTAGGGCCCTCCATTCAAATAAGAAGTACCCATGACCCAGTGTGGAGACCCACCGAAAGTTTGACTGCACCCAAGCAGGTTATCAAATGCCCCAGATCGGAGCATAGGGCTCTCCATTAAGATAGTAAGTACCTAAAACCCAATGTGGGAGACCTCGAACGATCGAGTGTTCCCGAGAGGGTTGAAAAATGGGGCCCCATCAAAAGTGTAGGGCCCCAAAAGCAACGTCTACCGGCGGAGGGCTCACAGAGAGGTGGAGTTAGTGCTCCAAGCGCTCTCAGTTGCAGTTTCATACCACTGGACAAGCAGGGGAACTAACATATTTCACTTACGTTGGCGGGCGTTGCCCTCGGCCCTTCAGTTGCGCGCCCTCAACACTGCTGCTTAAAACAAAACCTCAACGCTCCCTGGTAAACATCTGTATTCACATTTTGTCGCGTGTCCAGGGAGTTATTCATTCTTTCCAAGCTTCATGCACTGTGCGGAGTCAGACGATGACTAGAACATTTGGCAAGACCAAACACTCAACGTTAAAAATGACAGCAGTCTGCAAACAACACTCTGTGCACCCTCAGTCAACATTTGCCCTGACTCTACCAGGAGTTGATTGGGTGTCTTCTCAGTAAAAGCGCAGGCAGGCAAGAAGGCAAGAGGGCGCATTGCAAAAATAATTTCGCAATTAGCTTCGATGCGCCTCCTGCTGGATATTTATAACGAAACTTTTTCCTGATCGCACTCATTAAGTAATTGTCCCTGCCCCAAAAGGCTTCCCATCTATTCGCTCAGAGCAAGGAGAAAACTGAACCCAAAAAGCATGATTTCTATCGTAACACAACGCTAACGCTTAAATTGCCGTTCTGTTCTGCGTTGTCTTCCTCTCTATCATGTCCACTAAAACGCTGTAATGATGGAAATACCACTATGCAGTATGCAACTTCAGTTAGACCGCGTTTTGGCCTAAAATCGGTAACTTACAGCACAACAGAGAAAATCGGGCAACAACGTTGCCAACGGAGTTAGGGAGTATGCTGTGACGTTCCGCCTACCAACTTCGAGATTAATTTCTTTGGGGGCAGGCCCAGTGCCATGAACGGGCCATTCATTCTCAAACACTGCGTGGCGATCCTTCCGGCCAACGTGTCGGCATTCGATCCGTACAGATTGTGACATGAATGCACCAGTTTTGCCCTCAAAACACAGAGTGCTTCACATGCCCCCGTCCACGCTCAACACTGCCGTCGATGCCTCCATAACCCTCAGGCGTAAAGCGTTTTGGTCATCGCAGTTGCACGTTGAGCGCGTTCGTACGGTCCGACTCGATCATGGCGCCAGCAAAACACGCTGACGCCGGGTGATACGCGCAGCTGTAGTTCGAGTTCAATCAACAGATGGCACCACCCGGCCGAGTTCTGAATGTCACCACTAGATGTCACCCTACATAATGCTGCACGCCGCACCGCCACACAGGGGGAGACAAATGGGGATCGTCTTGCCTCCCTTGGCTTCCTTCTGCTTGGAGCCTCCATGTGCTTTGTACTTGCCCTTTGCCTTGAATCCCGTCTTGGTGTTGCCGTTCTTGTGCGATTCTTTAGTCTTGAACTGAAAGGCATCGTGACGGTAAAAGCCACACCAGTGAAAGTTGGTACACGACTGGGAATGAGGTATCATCCACTGCCCTGTCCTCTCCTTACCCGGCATCGCTGTATTCTAGTCGTGAGCATGTGCTGACTGTCAGCCCTGAGTTGACCTCACGGCTACTCCCGCTTAGATTTACTCCTGAACACTCGCAGGGGCCTCGTCGAATGGCCTCTAGGTGGAGTGGGAGTCGGTGCTACACCTCCTACCTCTGTGCTTAAAGTAGACAATAGTGTTTTCATAGTGTTCTGACGTGGAAACCATGAGTGGAATGCCTCCAATGAGGAACTTTTTGCACGCAAATTCCCCATACTTAGCAACGGTGCAACTAGTAGCCAAGCTCCAAGCCAAGGCTGGCGTCTCTTTGCCTGAAACACGTTAGTGCTACCCAAAATGTATCCCTGTAGCCCTATTCACGTAGCCCTATAATGGTCATTGACGGACGAAAAGAGTTCAGCACAGCCAGAAGCAGAAATGTCAAATGGCGGAGCGGGGCCCTCTCCCCTCACCGGTCTTATACCCATATCCGCTTCGCTGCAGACACACTTTACCACATACATCCAGGGTAGAGGAGAGCTTTGAACTAACCCTGTCCTTGTCTCGCTGAACGTCATGCCGGTACAAAAGCACAGTCAGCGCATTTGTGCATGTATGCATGACCCCATTACGCGGTTGGGTACAATGGGACGAGTCTCGGGTCAGCAGACAAAACGGGCTGGGCACAGCACACGCTTCCAACTCTGATTAAGTCCGTCTCGTCGCATTCCAATGCCATCACGGGGAAGCTTTGCCCAGCTTCTCCGCGAAGAGCTAGAAAAAGCGGACAGTTGAGCGCACTCCGTTGGCTAGTGAGACGCGGCAGTTTTAAAACAGGCATGCCCCCATGGCGACGGTGACTGGCGTTTCCGAGCGCTGCCGCTGCTCGGTCGGAGCTCTCCGTAGTGGAGGTACCTTGGTCTCGCAGTCGGCGTCGTCCGGCGGGTAGTACACGCCGGGCGTAGCGCGCTGCTGCTGGTCCTGCGAGTGCGCCACCTGGGGCCGCTCCGCGTCCGGCCCGCTGCCGGCCGGCTCGGTGACCTGAACTGACCTCGAGCTGACGTCACGGCGCCGCGGGCCGTCCGCGTACGTGCCGTCCTGGAGCGCCAGGGGAGGGGGTCGTCCGTCAGACATAGTGCCGACCTGGCAACTGTTGCGGTCGGGGGAGTCAGCTCTGCTGCAGGAGAGCAGCGCTGCTATGTCTGTCATGTCAACCGCAGCAGGGTGCCACTAACTGAGGCCTATGGTCTGGGCAGTCAGCTCTGCTGCAGGAGAGCAGCGCTGCTGTATCGGTCATGACGACCACAGCGGGGCATCACTCACTGAAAGCAGGCGCGATGTTCAATTTGCGTGACTCAAGTGCAACTTCTGAAAAAGTGGAGCTGGTGCAGCTTGTGTGTTTAAACGTGGTGATGAACTCTGGTAGCTGACGCACAACTTAATGCATGTACGGCTTGTGTAATTGATATGCTGAATCAGTTTGGACGAGACGCCCTGTCGAGTTTACACAGTTTCAGGTTAGTTTAGTTAAGGCAGCAGGAGGCTCACAACATCAGGCTCGATGTGACTCAGAGCACCGTAGACAAAATACAAGCACGTCTCGCAAACATTTGTACAGGCGCTAGGCGTAGTTGGGTTGCACGCGTCTGTTTATTTAGGATCCAGCGTTAATCGATTATGCTTTTAACCACCAGTCCTACGAAAATCAATAAAACCTCTACCACTTGGTGAGCACGCGACCGAAATATCCCACTTTTAGTGCCGCATAAGTCAGTTCCAAAGAAAACGGCAACAGAATCCCTTCCCCGGCTCCAGCCCCACCTGCGGTCCGGACGGCACCAGCGGCCTCGGCGCTCCGTCTTCCCTGGTCGTCTCGGCGCCGGCGCCGTCGTACCCGGAGCGGGTGCGCTCCATCTCCGTGGTGACGGTGCGAGTGTGGTACCGCTCCGCCTGCGGACCCGGGTAGGGCGTGTCGTACGGCGAGGGCGGCCGGCCCAGCGGTGCCGGCGCCGCCTGCGAGCGCGTCTCGTGTCGCTCGACGCAGCTCTCGGTCCCAGCAGGCGGCCAGGGCCGACTGGCGGGGCCCGTCGAGCTCTGCTGGCGCATCTCGTACCGCTGCAGGCTGCTGACGGTGCTCTCCGGGCCGGCCGGCGGCCAGGGCTGGCTGAGAGGGTCCCGGCGGGCTCTGCTGGCGGGTCTCGTACCGCTCCAGGGTGCTGACGCCCGAGTCGGGGGCGGTCGGCGGGCCGTCCGGGCCGCCGGCGCCATAGTTGTAGATGTGGTAGTTGATGGTGGTGTTGGTGCCAGGCTGCTGCGGCGGCGGCGCCGGCACCCGGTCCAGCGAGGACGCCGCGCTGGAGCGCTCCGTCACCGTCATGTGCGTGAGCTCAGGCTCCCGCGGCGTCGGCCGCGGCTTGGGCGGCACCGCCGGCGGCGTCTTCACCGCCGGCGGCGCCTGCACCGCCGGCCACGGCTTGGACAGGACGTCGCGGATGTCGCGAGGCGTGAGGTCGGGATGGGGCGCTGCCGGCGCCGGCTGCGGGCTGACGGAGCGCTGCTGGGAGCTGCGGTACTGGTACTTGGTGACGCGCATGTGCCCGGCCGGCGCCGGCTGACTGATGTCCGGCACCAGCAGCGACGGCTCGTCCGGCAGCCCCGGCGACCGGCTGTGGCGACAGGGCAGGGAGGTGAGGGTCAGTGCGGTCGCCACCCCAACCACGTCGAGAGAGAGGGAGGAAGATGCCACACATCAAACTGCAGATAAGTCTCGCCGCTATTGGGCAGGGTAGCCTTTGGAGAAACGGGATGTGTGCCATGTCCGCATGGCCAAATGGTACGCAAGCAAACGCTGGCCTAGCTGAGTATCGATATCCACATTCCAATGGTCCACTTTGCATATCATAAGAACATTCTCAAAGCATGCCATCGGCACATTGTGGCATATTTGCTGCATGCTGTTCAGTCAGCTGTCGCTGCGGCGTCCCCGCCGCGTGCGTGGTATCGTTGGCGACGTGTCGCGTGCGCGGTATGCTCACCCCTTGGAATGGGGCCGCGGAGCTGCATCTGGAAACAGGCCGGGCAACAAGTGAGCTTCAGACTCGCACGATGTGCTCGATGTACGCCTGATGATGTGATATCTCCGATTGAATCGCACAGCCGATGCAGCCTTGGGAGGGCCAGACAATCGCATGGTCGATGCAGCCTTGACAGGGCCAGACAATCGCATGGTCGATGCAGCCTTGACAGGGCCAGACAATCGCGTAAAGGACACTAAGGTAGTGAACTATGGGTCCTCCGATTTGGCTGGCGAGGAAACAAATTACAGTGTTCATTTTCACGCTACATGTTCAATGATGGAAGTGCCCAGCAGAACTGCTCCCATCTCTTGACTTACTTGAGGCTGTCGTATTGTTTGAAACGTCGATTTGATCAAGCAGGCTATCCATGTCCACGCCATTTTCCTTCGTTGGCGTCGTATCAAATGCTGGGGCTGGAATATCGCGAATGTGCCGTTACAAATTTAAAGCGTATTTAACGTCGTTAACAATTCAGAACTCTGGCCAAAGATCGTCATTTTCCCTTTCAATGATCCGTGAACTAAAGTACGGATCAAATCTTTAAACTAAACCCTACAGAGGTAAAAGTGTCATAAGGCCTCCTCGCTATGTGCGCGCACCACTGACTCCCTGGTTAACGACCAGAGGAAACGATGTTTTCGTGCGGTGCAAACAGCCGATACCTTGCGTTCACAACTATCAAACATTGCAAACCGCTGGCAGCACAAGCTACCACGCAGGTCAAATACCTTAATCAAGGACACTCTGTTGTTTACTGCTCACCTGGGGGGAGGACCGCCAGTTGGCCGGTGCTGCTAGAGTGAGAAGACTTGTACATCTGTCTGGCGACCATCTGTCTCTGGAAAGAGGTCAGCACAGGTCAGGCTCCGCCGGCCCACCCGAACCTAGCTTACAGTGGAGGTCAACACGACGCAGGAGCATTGGGGCAGCCAGGGCTAATGAGCCGTCATGACGCATAGTGTGAACCCGGCCAGGTGATCATGCTGCACCTGCTGTGAACCCGTCATCATCGGCGCTTTTAGTTCCAACACGATGTACAACAAGTGCCCCGCCAGCACATCGCTACCACCCAAGGCGCTACTACGCGTTATATGACCTCACTGCCATCAGTGCTAAATCCACCACGTGCTCATCAACATTGACATTACGGACGTGCAACAACACCTGGGCGGCCGGCGGCGGTGAGCCGACACGCCGCCAGCGTCGAGTTCGACGCCTGGTTCCGTCGGAGTCGACGGCAAACTCACGCCGTCGCCAGCGCGCGCCGTGCGCTGGCTGCGCTCCTCCACCGTACGCGTGCGCTGATCGGGGCTGGTGTACTCGCAGCGCTCGTGAAAGTCCTCCGAGCCTGGCAGCGCGCCTCCCTGGACGGGGGCGCCGCCGCGGGCCGGCGGACCGCCGCCCTGCCCCGGCCCCGTGCTCTCGTTCAGGTCCGACAGCAGTGTGTCTGCAACGGCAGACCGGCCGGATCGTGCTACTTATGCGACTGCAGGGACTGGTGGGTGCTGCGTGCGTGGCTGTTGCGAACAGATTTCCAGATATTACTCAGCAAGCAGTTTTGGTTCGATCTCACTCGAGGTATCCCTATCGGTTCCGACCTTTCCAGTTGAGAAATGCTTGGGAAAGCTCCAGAAGTTTGTCAAGATATTGGCAAAGGGATCGCCAACCTATTCCAGACTGTTTCCTTTTTATTTTCCGAAGGTCGGGTCGGGTGTTCGAGCGTCGGGTCCTCAACCGGGGTGTCCGGTGAGCTCACCAAGCGGCCTATGGCGACTCCACCCTGAAACATGTCTGATCCCAATGGTGCTCTGATCTGATCTGATCTGATCCCAAAGCCTTTCCCCCAAATGTCCGTCAGGGAATTCCAAGCGCTCCCAGAACTGCCTATGGCGATTGCGCACTGAAGAATGGCCTCATCAGGCAAATCCCAAATACGACGGTCAAGGAAGAAAATTTAAGAAAACCTAAAATTTCTCCAAGTGATAGCCGATGGCAGGAGCTCAATCGAAAAACCTTGGAAAATCCACAATAATTTTTAGTCCAGTTTGCAAAGCTTGGGTTTTCCCAAATTTTCCCAACATTCCCCTATATTCCCAAACAAATTGCTTCATGGGCAAAGATATGGAAACGCTCCATGAACCATGTGTGAGCCAAAGCGAAGTTTTCAGTCAGTTATTTTCATGCACAGTTTTCAGAAACGAATAGTTCATTTTTACATGTGTCACAGCAGATCTAACCTTTTATCACATGCTTTCACCGCTGCTTTTGCATAACACAACACCACCGTCTGCAGTCGTAGATGCAGAAGCATGCTGTCACCGAAAACTTTTAAAAATCGCTAAGCCTGATAAGCACCGCCTCGCGCACAGATTATCCCTGCGGCCGTTGGCTTCTTACAGGCGCGTGCCGCGGCCATGACCACCGGTCCCCACCCGCGCGCCCGGTGTGCAGGTCACGGCAGGCCACCGCGCGCCCGGTGGCCTGCCGTGACCTGCCACCTCCGCCACCGGCTTACCGAGCTGCTGATCCCAGTTTTCCGGCCTGCCGGGCCGGCCGGTGACACTTCTCTCCTGATGCCGGTACTGGGAGCTGGTGGTCGACGCCATCCTGTTCGCCCGCCCCGCCTGCGAGACAGAGGGCGTGCGGTGATGCAGGGCGCGGCGGACTCTGCCGGCAGGCGCTCCCTCAACGGCGGGACGTGCGGTGATGCAGGGCGCGGCGGGCTCTGTCGGCAGGCGCTCCCTCAACGGCGGGACGTGCGGTGATGCAGGGCGCGGCGGGCTCTGTCGGCAGGCGCTCCCTCAACGGCGGGACGTGCGGTGATGCAGGGCGCGGCGGGCTCTGTCGGCAGGCGCTCCCTCAACGGCGGGACGTGCGGTGATGCGGGGCGCGGCGGGCTCTGTCGGCAGGCGCTCCCTCAACGGCGACGGCTGATGGGATCAATCGGATCGGATTCAGAACTTGGAAAACGGCAGGCTGAATGGCAGCATGAATTTGAACGTGCTGGATCAGATGGATTAAGGTCGGGGAAGCTCAGCCCGAGACCAGCTCAGCAGCCCAGATGGCTTCTCCTAGTCTTTTTAAGGCATCCGCCAGCCAGTTCGCTGTGAGTTAAGGCGTCCGCCCGCCAGTTCGCTGCGAGTTAAGCCAGCTAGAGATGGAGGATTCTGGTTATCAGCTTGGTTACCCCACACCGGCTTCTCCAAAACGGCATCCAAAACTAGTCCGCCATTTCCATTCATTGACGACATTGACCGGGGCCATTCGACCCGGACATTGGAAAGCTGCACCTAGATTAGGTACCCCCGGCCCCTGCAATGGCTGTCGCGACTGGGATCACCTGTCTGCGCCCGATGTGCCCCCTGTAATGGATGTTATGGCTGGGATCGCCTGCCTGTGCCCAATGTGCCCCCTGTAATGGATGCCTCGGCTGGGATCGCCTGCCTGCGCCCAATGACGCACGTCCGCGCCCGAAAACATTCCCACCGTCAAAACACGACCTGCTTAAAGAGCTGACTAACTCAGCCAACCGTCGCCACAGAGGCCCAGCCGGGTCCCGGATCCGCCTACAGAGTGACTGAATCTGCCCACGGCCCACTGACGTCACAGAGGCCTGGGTAGGGTCTAGCCCGCGATTCACTGTCGAAGCTCACGGAAGGTAAAGCCCACGGCCCACTGACGTCACAGAGGCTCGGGTAGGGTCTAGCCGACGAGTCACTGTCGTAAGCTCACAGAGGGTAAAGCCCACGGCCCACCGACGTCGCAGGGGCTCGGGATTATCTAGCCCATGGAAGGCAAATCCCACGGTCAGACGTCGCCATCAAGCACGGTTGGTCTGGGGCTGTCGCCATCAAGCACGGTTGGTCTGGGGCTGTCGCCATCAGGCACGGTTGGCCTGGGGCTGTCACCATCAAGCACGGTTGGTCTGGGGCTGTCGTCAGCAGCGCGCAGTTTGAGCGCCATGACAGCATCCCCCAAACGCGCTGGGCGCATCTGCGCCTGTAAGTCACTGTCAGCAGATGTGTCATGTCAGGAAAAAGCCA